GAGGTTAGAGGGAGGTCATACCTGGCTGGTGAGCCTGAAGTCCCGTTGTGCTGCCCCCTGTCATAGCCGCCAGAGTCGCTAGGTTCTGCACGTTCATACCCAACCCTGTGCATGGACACACAACACCGGCAACGTTAGTATCGCACACAGACACGGACATGTACTGTACTTGGGGCAGGTTGCAAATACGATAAGAAAAAAAAGTGGAAAAAATCAGTGCCATGTATAATAAGGTTTTCATAAAATTACTTTGGCTGAACTTGTAAGAACAGCTGCTTAGAAAAAGGGTTACAAACAACATCACAAACAATGCCAATGTTTTAAGTTTGCTCAAACAACCTGTTATGTGCTAATTAATTACAATATGTAAGTATTTGGTGATGACAGAGCAATCAGATAAAACACAGCATACTTTTCGTAAATTATTAATTTTAGTTTGCTAAAAGCATTTAAAAGCATTATCCACTATGGCTCAATTTAAATACACCACAGTATACAACAATTATAAAACACTGAGGGGAAAAAAATCTATTTAAACACAGATTCCAAACATGCTAAGCACACTGCACCGGTAGTAATGATCATGTGGGAGGAATCAAGCAGTGGAAAGAAAGTACTGTCAGTCAAAAATAATTCTATCCATCATTCATTTACAATGTTCTTCTCTGCTGTATCAAATCCTCCTATCCTCTTTATTACATCTGCTTTTCATTAGTATATCCATTATTTATACCAGAAAGTAACTGCAATTATTAAATCTATAATTTTAACCCACACCTTCCGGAGACTTAATCCAGCTAATCACCTTAATCCACTTCTGACTTATTGCACCAACAAACGGCGGTGCTACATAACTCTGGCAAGTAATCTAGTAATATATTACAGTTACCTTATGTAATGAAAATTAATCTCATCAAGGCAACTAATTGAATTCTGGAGCAACTTTCCTCCTATTACCAGGTAAAGATCAATATTTCCTTTAGCTCTGGAGAATGTAATTGGAATACAAATCAAAATCTATTAACTTTAACGATACTTTCTTTCAGACAGATTATTTTTATCTGATGAAATAGGCAGAAATGCAGATTGCATGAAGTACTTCCCTTGCCACTGGAAAAGGATACACTGGTATAATATGCACACAGGGCTTGAATCATCTTTAACCCAATCCATATGATCAGATGGAGGTTGTGTGTGTGTGTGTGTGTGTGGTGGTGTTGTGTGTGTGTGTGTGTGGTGTGTGTGTGTGTGTGTGTTGTGTGTGTGTGTGTGTGTGTGTTTGTGTCTTGAAGAAAGTGGTGTGTGTGTGTGCAAGGAAATGTTGTTTGTGGTGTGTGTGTGTGTGTACAAGAGAAAAAGTGAGTGAGTGAGTGGTGAGTGAGTGATGAGTGATGAGTGAGTGAGTGTGAGTGTGATGAGTGAGTGAGTGAGAGTAGAGAGAGAGAGAGAGAGAGAGAGAGAGAGAGAGAGAGAGAGAGAGAGAGAGAGAGAGAGAGAGAGAGAGAGAGAGAGAGAGAGAGAGAGAGAGAGAGAGAGAGAGAGAGAGAGAGAGAGAGAGATAACAGGCATGTATGTGTAAACTTGCCTGGGGGTTTTGGATATGTACCACACACATACACAAATTTGATTCCACCATCTTCTCCATCAAGACTTAATTAACTTCCCCACAATTAAAAATAAAAGAGAATACCCTTTCTTAAAAAAAAACACTTGTTCATATTATACTCAGTGACAATCTTATCAAACAACGACACACAGAAAGAACACATAAAATACTCACAAACAGCATGCAAAACACCCTACAACCCGCCCTCCGACACACACAAATAAATAATTAAAAAAAAAGAGTATGTAGACGACCAACTCCAAATCCCCGCCTGCTGTACCATAACAACCACGTTACCTGTATTTTGTGAGTTCATGGAAGCCAACAAACTCTGGATGTTGGAATCTTGAGAGCCGTTGGTTGAAGATGGCAGATTCAGACCGCTCAGTGAACCCAGGCCACTCAGACCTGGCAGAAGGGCGGGGGCCGTTAGTTAAGATTTCGGTGTTTGTTGTTGTTGTGTTGTTGTGTGGGTGATAGCAACAACAACAATTGTGATGATAACAATCCTAAACCTAATCCTCATTCTCATCATAATAACAATCAACATCATAATAATCATATAACAATCATAATCAAAAGCAAAAAAAAATCAATCATAATCACATTCAGAATCAGTGTGTGTGTGTGTGTGTGTGTGTGTGTGTGTGTGTGTGTGTGTGTGTGTGTGTGTGTGTGTGTGTGTGTGTGTGTGTGATGTGTGTGTTGTGATGAGAGAGAGAGAGAGAGAGAAGAGAGAGGAGAGAGAGAGAGAGAGAGAGAGAGAGAGAGAGAGGAGAGAGAGAGAGAGAGAGAGAGAGAGAGAGAGAGTGAGAGAGAGAGTGAGAGAGAGAGAGAGAGAAGAGAGAGAGAGAGAGAGAAGAGAGAGAGAGAGAGAGAGAGAGAGAGAGAGAGAGAGAGAGAGAGAGAGAGAGAGAGAGAGAGAGAGAGAGAGAGAGAAGAGTGAGAGAGAGAGAGAGAGAGAGAGAGAGAGAGAGAGAGAGAGAGAGAGAGAGAGAGAGAGAGGAGAGAGTAGAGAGAGAGGCGAGAGGTAGAGAGCGGAGAGTAAGAGAGAGAGAGAGCTAAGAGAGTAAGAGAGCGAGAGAGTCAAAGAGCGAGAGAGAGAGAGTAAGAGAGCGAGAGAGTAAGAGAGAGAGAGTAAGAGACGGAGAGAGAGTAAAGAGAGCGAGAGAGTAAGAGAGCGAGAGTAAGAGAGCGAGAGAGAGCGAGAGAGTAAGAGAAGAGTAGAGAGCGAGAGAGAGAGCGAGAGAGTAAGAGAGCGAGAGAGTAGAGAGCGAAGAGAGTAAGAGAGCGAGAGAGTAAAAGCGAGAGAGTAACGAGAGCGATAGAGAGCGAGAGAGTAAGAGAGCGAGAGAGTAAGAGAGCGAGAGAGTAAGAGCGAGAGAGAGTAAGAGAGCGAGAGAGTAAGAGAGCGAGAGAGTAAGAGAGCGAGAGAAGAGCGAGAGCTTCGTGTGTGCGTGTGCGTGTGCGTGTGCGTTTGCGTGTGCGTGTGCGTGTGCGTGTGCGTGTGTGTACATCCAGGCAGTCTCCCAGCGACACCCTGGAATCTCACCTGAGGAATCGAACATCTGTTGCGTGGCGAGGTTGCCCTGGGAGGCGGCCAGCAGCTGCTGCACGGACACGTTGTTGAGGGAAGGAAGCTGCTGTATGCTGCCCAGCTGGCTCGCCAGGCTCCCAGCTGTGGCACCTGAACCAGCTGAGTTACCCATCTGCTGCTGGAGCAACTGTAAGTAGGCCTGATCATTAAACAACGTTAATGCACGATTTTTTACCTCCCATTTTTTGAGTGAGATTAAATCTTTTTAAAAAATGTGGTTAAGTTACTTAAAAAGGAGGATATAAGGGGGTATATCAAATTAAAAAAACAAAGAAAAAACTTAATTAGGAGTTGAATTAATGCATAAAATCATAGGAGGAATGTTAAAGAGGCAAAGGGAAATGACGTAGTACTATTGAGTTCACAACTAAAAGGCCTTTTAAAAATCTTAGAAAATCTTTTACAGAAAATTATAAGGCACTTTTCGCTAGCTAATTAATTCCATCAAATCTCATTAGCCTTTCACATCATTAAAATAATTAGTGGCCTGATCATCTTTTGTTACTTCAACTTGGGACGTGTTACTTGAGAGAAAATCTTTAAAGTTTAAATCTGACTTTTGTGTCGCTCATCTTTCACATGATAAAATGTTATTTGCCAAACAACGATCAATTACGTTATAATATAGAGAACTTACATTATTTTTACATTTTAATAACTGATATGAATATCCAGTCACATAAATCAAAAATAGAGTACAGAGAAGAATTAGTAATGCTGACTATCTATTATTAGAAATTATTAAAAGCATCTTTTTTATTGCAGACTGCTTCGTAGTGGTGTGATTTGCAATTCAAGCATACATATATACAAATCTGTTTTAGTTCTATCCATCTCATCTCTTGCAAACCACTAGTTGCATCTTTATGCAAGCCAGTTAATTGGTTAATGTCAGTTGAACATCCTAACATCATTATCAAAATTGGTACAGATCTATGTTCTTTCCTTTCTCTTTTTTCCAGTCCAAATGAGATTCAAAACTGGAAAATAAGAGTGTTAAAAGAATCAAAACAAATGACGGACGTACACATCACTATTAAATTACCACAGGGACTAACACTTAGCCAAATTTAAAGATACCTAGCCAAATCCGACACCGTATAATTCACATTCATCAATACTCGACTTGCTATGAAATCTAATACATTTCAAATAATCTCATTACTCTAAATCAAGATGCCCACTTCAACATTTAATGGAACTGGACACAAGAGAGATCGATGTTAGTTGGGTGAAAATATAGTGTTAAAGAGTGAACAACGAAAAAAATAACAATGATAAACATATGGAAATATAAAATAAAAAAGGGCAAATTATAATTATTTTTTAAATGAAATATGAGAGAGAGAGAGAGAAGGAGAGCGAGAGAGGAAAAAATGAGTGAGACAGAGAGAGAGAGAGAGAGAGAGAGAGCAAAGAAAATTTAATTATGAGTTAAAATACCGAACACCGAACATGTATTCTTGCATGAAAAGTTCTAGGTATTAAGACCTTTTTAAAACTAACACAGCGTCAGTTACACCTTACCTCACAGACAAGTAAAGACGGCTTCAAAAGGAAGAACACAGCCAAGCCCAGAGCAAAGTTCGAAATCTCCCATTTTAATAGCAAAATTCTTTGGTAATTAGCTAAAGCAAACAACGGTGTTTGTCACATTCTTTTCGGAATTCTATGTCGGAGAAAAAAACAACAGCTAACGAGCTATGGCATGTTCCTCCCTCTCAACATATTTGCAATGCCCATTATCCTAATTGGGAAACCATTGTCCTCACATCATCTTAATAAGATTCCAATGTTGTTGTTTTTTAAAATAGGTTAAAAATACTTATATGTCCTACTTAATTCGGATAATTACAAAGTGAAAAGGCATTTAAGAAACTGAAATTCAGGAAGAGGATGGAATATTATTTTGATGGCGTGACAACAAGGAGTGGCTTCTCGAAAGGATGTCTGATTAATGTACACAGATTTGTAAGAACATAAATAAATCAAAGAGAGTGATTAAGCTTATACAAATACACTGGAACTGGTAAAGGAGCACTATGTACAATAGATAACATCTTGTCATGCCCTTAAATCATATTACGAAACACGATCTCTACAGGCATTGAAAAAAATTAATGTTACAACTTCCATCTCACAAGTAACAATCTTCGAACATAATATACACAACATTATAAAAAAGAAATAGAAAAAAATACATAGATAAATGCTCTTAATCTTAAAAAAACACAGAATCTATCTCTGCCTAAGCACATACAGAAAGGAAATGCATAGGAGCATCACACTCACAGCCAGATACTGAGGCCCTTGTGCCACCAGGTTGTTAGCTGAGGAAACGCTCTCTCTCCTGCGCTCTCTCTCTCTCTTCAAGCAGACAAAGAAACACTTAGCAGGAAAATATGTTCCTAACTTGAGATATTTAGTCTGTAACATCTCTCATTCAGACCAAAAAATGGTACTGGGTTAAAATTATTCCTCTGATTACAAAAAAAAAGAAAATAAGATCCAGGCTTAAATTGGGGGAGTTCCATTACCATATCTAATGAGAGAAGAAAACAAATTTAAAAATTTAGTTGGAATGACCTTATTTCTTAAAAAAAAGACTTATGATTTAATAAATACATATTAAGATTTTTAAAAGGGTGGGTAACCGTTTCCTCGGTACCTACGAAACGTTTATGAACCACAAACTTTTTTCTCCATTTATTTTCATCATTTATATCCTTTGGGTATCTATCACGCATACAAAGCAGGTCTACTCTTAAGGCCATCTATCACTCACTCACTCCGGTTGCTTCCCGGCTTCCTCCGCTTTAAAACTAATGCCAATAAATACTGTGATCATATTCGTAGTTTTTTTTATCAAAATACTTCACGTTAATAATCAAATAAACAATCAGCGGGGGCCATGAATAACCAAATTATGAATAAGGTTTTATTATATTTGCTGATTTCATCAAGAAAAAAAATGTAAGCAGAATCTGAACTAATATATGTAAAGATCGTTATAATTGAAACAGTTGCGAAACAGGGCTGAATTTATCATGAGAGACAAACAGATTGATAAGCAAGACCACTGTTATACACGAAGTGTGATGTTCGTTTTTATTTAATTTTGTTTTATTTCAGTACAAAAATATTGAACTTATCAGACAGCCCCGCAGATTCCATCCTCCTTATAAAACCTCTTAGATTAAATTACTTCCTCATGCATAATCATGAACAACCACAGACACATTTTAGTACAGAACATCACTTTAGTTCAAATTGGCCCGGACCAAATGTAGTCCACGTTAAAAAAAATCACTATCAGTACCTAACTCAGCATCCATTCCCATGTCAAAATCATATCGCTTAAATTTAAACCACACTATCCAACTACAATCAGATAACTTGTGATTCACTCCCACACAAATCACATGATTTGAAAAAAAAATGTTGATTGCGCAACCTCATCCTTTCCTCAGAGACATTCAACAAAAGAACTCTTGGGGAAAAAGTTTTCAAAAACATTTGTGATGTACAACGGTCAGTCACTCTCATTCATTCATCCTTTGAAATTCATTCCTCACGCTTTTCTTTTGCTTTTTCTGATATCTTGCATTTTTCTTCTCATTCATTCTTCCTGAATTGGGCCGATTTCTGAAAGTCTTTTTCATCACATGGATAAATATTAAAACACTCTTCAGTTCTAGGTTGCCTTGGAAGCTACAACCATCTGTACACCTCTACATTATACACTTATTATTATACAGCCTAAGCTTCCTGTATCCTAACACCAAAAATAACTCATCTTTGCTTGTACAAAAAATACTATCTCTTACTGCACATTACTACATCTTAAAAATTAAAAAAATATATAGTAAATAAAAACTGAGAGTAAAAAAATACGAACTTCTAAAAAAAAGCACATATAGGTGTTAAGAAACAGAATCGCTCCCTCTAAAACGAAAATATTCTTTTAAAAAAATGGAAATAAGTCTATAATTCCTAAAGGTATGACGACAATACTTACAGCGAGGTACTGTGGGCCGAGAGCAGCAATGTTGTTAGCAGAGGCAACATTCCACAGGTTTTGTGTCACTTGCTGCAGCCTCTTTGCGTCCTTCTCCTTCTGTGTGTCAGCGAACTTCACGACGAGCGGGGACGAGCAGCCCTGGCCAAGGAAACCAGCGCGTGAGTCGACCCGAGGGCCTTGTGCCTACTGGCTGCATGTGCAGGCATACTTATAGCCATACTGCTAAATAGAAACTCGGATACCCATACACAAAACACACACACACACACACACACACACACACACACACACACACACACACACACACACACACACACACACACACACACACACACACACACACACACACACACACACACACAC